AGGTATACTTGAGTTGTTTTTGCTCAACCGATACCACCTTGTATTAATTCACCTTGGCAATAAAGGAAATGAGCTTTAGCCTGAAGAGGCGCAATTGCGCCAACACACTGTGCTGATTTCGGCATTCGTGCTGGAATTAGTGTGTCAGCACCAAAAAATTTGCGCCGCTACCCAGGCCTAGTGCATTTTTCAAAAACGAGCACGGTTGTGTCAAATTATCGCCTGTTTTGCTTTGTTTACATAACCGCGTATACATACACATACACGTAAATATATACCCTGCAAACAAATGTTCCCGAAATCTTTAATACCTTGTCCCCACTGGAGCTAACCACGTAGTTATGACTGTTGAGTTGGTTATCCCGATAACCCACTTGATTTAGCGTAGTTTCGCCATATATAAATGACAGCACTTAACCATTTCACTGAGATGGTTAAAAGCTAACCAACTTGAAACCACGTCGAAAGTCTGATACAACCCTGTGTTTTCCCCCCATCTGTCGGTCATTAGCGTTAAAATTGAAAAAATGTGTCCCCTACTAGTGTTTGGAGTTCACTAAGAAGAGATTAGATTTACTGCGATTTTTGAAAAAATTTGAAATCTACTCCTCTACTCCGCTTGATTTCAAATCGATTCCGTTTTTTTCTTTCATGTTATGCCCCTCTTAGGGCCGTTTTTTTGAGTGTTCACCACCGGTTTCAGTAAAAAATTGAAAGTTAGCCAAATCTCACTGTTAAACAGTAACTCTTTCATAGCAATGCGTCAATAAAGTAACTTCATTATTTCTTTTTATGTATGGCTGTAGAAACTGGCGGATGCCGAACTTTACTTAAGTTGCTAAAAAATATATGTAGAATGAAATTTATATCAAGTAGAAAAGGTTTAGATCTTTTAGATTCTTTTAGGAATCTTTAAAGAAAAACATATGAAGCGGTTGACAAGAACTGGTAAAAAAATTTCTGTAAGAAAATTCTTTAAAAAAAAATCTGAAACCATTCTGAATACTCTGAAATCCTGGTATGCAGAGTATACATATACATACGAATATGAATACATAAAGAAGCTGTAGGTGACACAACGAGTTCATACCAACGGTAAATGTTGTTTTTGTACGATTGATACAACCTGTAGTTGTTGAATCATGGCCTAGTGTGCTAAAAACACTGCCCAGGATGTACTTTCATATTGTGCCAAGTGTGCTACTGTGATATAATTTAATCGAAAAGTGCGCCTGTGCGTGCGTCACATTGACGAGTGTCAGCACAGTAGCACAGCACTGTGCTGTGTTACACATCTCTAATGAGTTGTCAATTTAGAAAAATCTTTAACGATGACTGACACGGGAAAAAGGTTATTTTCATAATTTTTCATAAATGAATTATTATTACTTTTTTTGTTTAATTATAGCAAGAGAAAAGTATGAACGAGGGCGGAGACGCTCCTTTTCCTTAATGCTATGGGGAAAGGAAGGAAGAATTTCTTCATGCACGTAAAAAAAAAAAATACGCATATCAAAATGTTTTGGAAGATATGATTTTCCAAGGTTTTGTGGTAAGAATTGTGCATATTTAATTTAATATTAAATTACCTACATATTTGTATTTTAGGATACAACGGTTACCACAGACGCACTTTTTGCGAAAATGCGTACGCTTTTAAAAGCCTACAAGTCTGCCAAAGACAATGAAAGGCAAACAGGAACTGCTCCTCGCACTATACCATATATGACAGAAATGGACGAAATTTTTGGTGAGAGTTGTTTGGTTGTAAATGATCATACCATTAACATAGGAACAGATCCTCAGGAGGCATTAATAGAAACATGTAGTAAGTTGAAAGACTTTTTCGTACTGTGATATAAAATTGTAACTGAATTTTTTTTCTTTTAAAATTAGCCATCGAGCTGTTAAGAGACTCAACTAGGGTTTCGCCAATCCCTGAACCGAGCAGCTCAAGTCAGTTTCAAGAACTGAGTACCTCCACGCAATCGCTGAACACACCAACGCGAAGCCACAATTTACAGCCGAGTATGCCCGCTGCGAACACACGTGTTAGAAAAACGGCCAGGGATCGTTACTTTGAAAATAAACTTGAGCTGAAGAGAAGAAGCTGTGAGGAGAAAGAAAAATTCCATGCAGATATTCAGCGTATGTTGCAAAATTTAGAGAAGAAGCGTGATTTGCAGCTAGAGTTGGAGGAAAAAAACTTAAAATAGAGGAGGAAAAGTTAAAACTCCTACAACAATGCTGCGGAGATGATTAGAAAAGAAAAAGTTTAAATATTAAAACAGACAAAAAAGTAAAAAAAAAATTAAATATAGACTGCATTTCTTTATTCATTCTGAACGTTTGGAATAAACTTTTTTGTTTACTTATTCTTTAGAACGTTCCTGATGATATGTTAACGTATATTTCAAACGCATTCTGTTTATTCCGGCTGTGAAATGGGATTATCTGGAATGTATAAAGAAACGCAGCCATAGTGTGGCTACTATTCAAATAGAATTCCCTGTTTATTTTTTCAACAAAACATGTATCGATTGTAATAAAATACAATTGAATCAACTCAAGCTTAAGCTCAAACATTTCCTCTTAATAACTGAATAAATAACTCATTACGACGATCTCCACTTATGTCACTTTCGCTCACAGAGACTGGTTCTAATTCCACACTTTCATTTGCTTCAACGATGAAGGTGTCGTCGTTTTTTAATATACATATGTTATGCATAATACATGCGCTCGCCACCAAATGTGTTACATCGCATAAATCTTTATGCTCTGTAAACTTAAGAAGTCTGCGAAAACGACCTTTGAGTAAGCCGAACGCGTTTTCTACAACAATTCTTGCCGACGAATGAATTTTGTTGAATCTGATTTGTTGTTCTGTTAGTGAACCATAATCTTTGAATACCGGAATTAAGTAATTTTTGCAAGGGTATGCCGAATCTCCAAGGATAAATGTAGAGTTTGGAAACAAATTTTCAACACTATTTTCTGCTTTCCTATAAAACGCTGACCTCTTAAGTACTCTGAAGTCATGGTAGGACCCAGGCTCGCCGCAATAAATATCAATGAACTTCATATCGGCATCGACAATTCCCTGTAAAACTAAGCTGTAATTTCGTTTTCGATCAAAATATATATGCTTATCTTTTTTTGGTGCGTTAATAGTTATATGTGTGCAGTCTATTGCACCAATGACACCAGGTACTTTCTTTCTTTGCAAAAACTTTCTCGTGGTATCTTCCACTGCTTCTCCAGTTGGCCACTTGATAAACTCGTATCCTATTGAAATGATCCACGCAACAACGCGACGAACAATTGCCCATGTAGTGGATTTCGTTACACCAAACAAATTAGCAAGTTGTCTGTAGGTTATGGTGTTGCTTAGGTACCATATGTACATATATATCATTGTCTTTGCAGGTATTTTGGGCTTTCCAGACATTGTACGGCTGTGATTTTGATCGTTTTCATTACACCTCGCTTTAGAAATATAACACTGTTTCAGTAAAAATTTGTAAAACGGAAGAAACCCTTACTTATTAAATAATCCACTATTTTCGATTCAGGCGAAAATGGGACTTGAAATCCTCATCTGCATACTCATCGATAACGTCGATGAAACCGACAAATTTTGGATGCTCTACCTGTTCTTCCTCAGAATCGTCCCCCGATGAACTAGATTCAGCAGCTACATCAGCTAGTATTTCTATTATTTCTTCATCATCAGCGTAATGTATACTGGAACAACTACAGAAAAACTAGAAATTGGAAAGTATGCAAACTTGGTTTGGTTTAATTATAAAACAATACTTACTGCATCTTTAATTAAATTTGGCATTTTCAACTTACACCAGTTGTGTATATGTTTGGTTAATCCATATTTTGTCGAAGGCACAAAATTTACACGCGTTTCTTTTATATTCTATTTTTGTCTATCTTTTTTTTGTTTACATTTTCATCTGTCAAAATGGTGTATATCGTGAACGACAACTTTTTTTTGGCAATAAAGTGTGAATAATCCAACTACCGTGAATGAAAACTATTAATCAACTGGCAATGCCGCTAGTTCAATATACAAGCCAAGATAGCTTGTCACAAGCCAATATAATTATGTTGGCTAAGTCTTCCATACAAAATAAGCTAATAGCTTATGTAACTGGTCAAATAAAACACGCCTAATATAGAACGTTGAGCCCCCTGAATGTGTTGCCATAAAATCATAAAAGTCTTAAGATGGGAAGAGTTACCGCCAACTTGTTTGTCAATTTAAATGTACCACAATTTATACTAAACTAAAAATAAAAGTATCTTTTAAAAATTCGAAGAAAAACGTATCATTTTGATCCATTTGGATCACAACGGCAACACTGTCTACCAGCTGGATTCTACTCATTTGTGAGTGAAAGGTTGAAAATTATTTGAATGAGCTTATTATTTGCATTCTGCTTTGTGCCACATCAGTGTTGGCATACATATGTATATACTTTTTACTTCGCAGTACTTTTTAGTACAATTTCAAAAAAATCTACAAACTTTTGTAAAAATTTCGAGCTTTCTGTTTCCTTTTTTTTTAATATTTTGCAGTTGTTTAGCTCATTCAATTTTAGTACAATAAAGCGCAAGTTTAAAGTAGCTGGGATGCACCGTTGAAGTGGGGCATTTTTTTTTGACGATGTCAGTCATTTGCTTCCATATTTTCGAAGTATGTTCGATGATTTTTTTTTAATGAAGAAAATGAGCAACACCTTCATCAAAAAAAAATATATATATTAAAAATCAACGATAAGTCGGAGCTATTTTAAATTTGTACTTGCATACTCAAAATGTGTATTTCTAGGAAATCTAATTAAAAAGTTTGAAATTTTTACGAAAGTTTGTTGATTTTTTTAATGTTGCGCAAAGATTGAACTTTGGATTAATACTCCGTAGTGTTATAGTATAAACTGTAAATAATTAAAATTAAATAATTTTAAGATCCTGTCAATATGTGCGTGTCGTAAAGTTGAGTACTGAATTCAAAGAAAATGTCTCTGTTATCCGTTGATAATAACTTAAAAAAATTTGTTTGTCAAGAAGTGTGCCTTAAAACACATATGTGCATACACATTTATGTTAAAAGTGTAAAATATGTAAATGTACCTACATAAACTTTCCCATGAATATGTACCATCAAATCATTGGTCTTGAAGGGAATCTATGTATGCATATACTAAGAAAATATATGAGCAAATTAAAAAGTCGATACCCTTGCTCGTTACAATTTACAGTCGAAAAGTACCCAGTAGAAATCGGTTGCATGCATTCATGAAGTATGTAAGCTGTATGAGTGAAAAAGTGTGAAAAATTCATGAGGGGCCATGAATTTCCAGAAATAAATTCAAATTCTGGCGAATATGAGCGAACGTACTTGTTGTTGTTTTAAGTACATTTCTCTATAAATTTGACTACTATACAGCATCAGAAATTGTTTGTAATATTTTCAGTCTTTTGCAAAATTTTTATCGAACGGACGTGTTGTGCGATAACATTTTCGGCACTAACAGGGCTTTTACATAATATGGATTTGCATATGTAAATGCTACCGTTTTGTTTGTACTCTTATGTGCCATATATTGAAATGTATCAGCAAAGTATGGAAACATATGTATATCGTATCAGCATTAGTACTTTTGCAAGCACTAAGTAGGTGTATTTTTGTACAGCTACCAGCATGATGGCAAAAACGTTTACCAAAAATAGACCCGCTAGGTGGCGCGGGAGTCGAGTTATTTATAAAAGTCGTATTTATGAACCGATTTCTTTCAAATGCAAAAGGTATAGTTTCAGCATAATGGCAAATACGTTTACAAAAAAACGGAGCCGCTAGGTGGCGCGGGAGGCGAGTTATTTATAACAGTTGTATTTATGAACCGATTTCGTAAGCATGATGAAAAAATCACTTGCGAAAAACGGACCCGCTAGGTGGTGCTGGAGTCAAGTTATTTATAAAAGCCGTATTTTTGAACCTATTTTGTTAATACACATTCGAGACGTTTATTACTTTCATGATGATTTTTTTTTCATTCGAAACATATTCAGACATATCATGAGTCTCATCTTCCCTGAACCGGTTCAGTTTTCGCTTTTGGTTTCCATGTACTTACTTTGGGGGTAATCAAAATTTTCGCGTGAATTTTTTTTCCGGCGAAACTCAGGATAAGGAAGATTACGTACATAAAATGATAGCCATTTCTGTTTTTCGGACTAAACTCAAAAACCACTCAATAGAGCCCAGTCAAATTGTCGGAGGTTATACCTTGCATATATTGTCCTATTATAGGCTACTAGAAATCACGCTGGTGGCGCTTGAGTAGAGTTACTTATAAAAGTCGTATTTATTAACATATTTCGTTAAACTTCGCAGCGTGACTACCTGTATGATGAAAAATTCCTTTGCTAAAAATGGACCGCTGGAGTTTAAGTATTTAGAAAATCCGTATTTTTTATAAAATCTGATTGGAATTCGTAATTCGTATTCATTTCATGACAAGCAAAGGTTTTGCAGAAAAGGGACCCAACGGATGACGCTGCACCCGAAATATATAGAAACCCCCGCGGGGTTTATTCTGCTTTGGCCCTATGTTTATCTAAGACGAATTTACTTTTCAGTT